TGTAAATCAATTAATCGTGAAACTTATTCTACTTTAAACTTATTGCAAACTATCTATCTTAAACTTATTCTACTTTAAACCAAATCAATTTTATTGCAAACTATGGGTGTTGATCTTGATTTTCCCAAACTATTCTACTTTTGTTTTTGAAGCTTATTGAAAAATGGTTACCGAATCTCAATCCGGTTTGAAACAAATGGTTACCGATTTTTTTTAATTTGATAAATGGGCCACAAAATTTAAAATATAAATTTGGACTGGATTTTAAAATTGGAATTAATTTGGATATGAATTTGTTTTATGGTTATTGTCATTTATGAATTTTGGACACACCTATATATATAAAAGTTATCTTCGACATGATTCACACTATTTGGGATGACGAAGGAGATAGTGATTGTGATATGGATGCCTGGATCCGTCCTTGTTTCCCCAGACAGAAGCTATACAATCGAACCGTGGAGGAAATCATCCAAGTCACTTCTGAAGAGTAATTCCCACTTGTTTTTTATTATGTCTAGTCCTACATTCTACCCAAGACGTATTGACTCATTTTGTAGGGCCCTTTTGTCATTTTCAAACATTATCATGAATAAAGACGTCCTTTTTGCATTCAATTATTTTGATCCCTGATTTTCCTTTTTTGTTTTTTTGCAATTTTATTAAACAAAAAAATGGCAATGTATTTATTTTTGTTTGCATATCGTAATAAACATAAACATCAATCATGAAGGTTGAACATCCCAGATACCACCGATCCAGATTCGGTTATGGCTCAGTATGATTTTGATAATCCTATATATCAATACAAATAAATTATATTTTCTTCCTAACTTCTTCTTTTCAGTGTCTTATACATCTCGCATATGTGTTTCTCATGCTCTTGCATCTTCACTACTGTTTTATCTCCAACGGTTAGTGACGGATGACAATGGACAATCGAGTTTCAACTCCATATGAACTCAATGATTGTTGTTAACAAAATTAAATACAATAATTTTATGTCTACTTGCAACCATGGATGGAGTTACCCCTAGTGTGAAGAAAGTGATGTTGATATTCTTGGACAATGAGACCAGTATGACATTGCATCTATATGAAATAGGGTAATCAATATTAGGAATCGTGATTCATTTCTCACAACCCTGCATACCCAAGCTAGCTATTAACAACAAACTCCTAACTTCAGAGATTGTGTCATAGAACACATTGAAACACAATTGACGATGTTGATGAACTTCAACATCTAACTGTGTCTGAACCAAAGGCCAAGACTCTTTACCCCTTCCAAGTAAAGCTACAGTAACACGAAAACTACAATTTCCATCTTGACCCACACCAATAATTTCATCAATGTACTCATCGGGAAAAGTAAAGATGTCATGAAGACTAGTTAGGAGGTTAACTTCCAATTGATTTTGTACATGATCCCTTTGTAGTTTGACTTCTTTGTGAGCTATCAGCATACCCCCGGTGCAAAGGATCAAGACACACGACACTTTCTTGACCCTTTTTACTCTTTTTATTTATCCTCTTTGGCTTGTACTTCACTGATGGTGGGTACATGAAAGTTATGGATGGATGTGTTAGTTCTAGAATATTTTTTCTTCATCATCCTTTGGCCTACAATATCTAATGTAGTGAAATACCTCTTCAACTTTTCACATTATTCTTTTAAATCCAATTTTTTTTCACTATCTTCTTGAGTGATATCATGCTCTTCAATGTTTAATTTCTTCCAAAATACATGAATATATTCTAATGGAATAGGCTCACCTTGTATTTGAATACCGGTGAGTTAACACGTACAAGATAACTCATGTGTTGTTCTAATGAAGCAACCACATGCATCTTTGTCAAAACCGGCAAACTTTGCCCTTTTTAGCTTATTTCCAATGTGTTGTATACACTATCTTGAAACAAAGTCAGACAATGTGAAGTAAAATGGAGTGTTATACCGATACTCAATGTTGGTAATAGTTTTTTTGAATTGATACTCTAATTGAACCTAGTTACAACTTCAACATGGTGTTCATAACATCCCAACTTCTTCATAAATCTCCTCGGCTAGTATTTAACATGTTTTTTAGTCTCCAATGAGCAAACTTAACCCTAAAAACAATAAATAGAAAAAGATGATATAATTTGATAATTAGTAATGTAATACAATTAGTGTCACATCGATGTACAATCAGTGTCAAAGCCAGTTTTTTATTTTCTTTAAAGAAATCAGTTTTAAGACCAATTTTTTTAAAAAAATCAATTTTATTGCAAACTATCAAATAATTGATAAACCACCTGAAATTTATTCTACTTTAAACTTATTGCAAACTATCAAATAATTGATATAAATCAATTAATCAATTTTATTTCAGTTTTACATTGAATTAAATCAACACTCCATATATCTTAAACTTTAAACTACTCAATGTAAAACTGGAATTAGACTAATTCCTTTTCATCGTGAATTAAATCAATTAATCGAGAAGTACGTTGAATTGATATAAATCAATTAATCGTGAAACTTATTCTACTTTAAACTTATTGCAAACTATCTATCTTAAACTTATTCTACTTTAAACCAAATCAATTTTATTGCAAACTATGGGTGTTGATCTTGATTTTCCCAAACTATTCTACTTTTGTTTTTGAAGCTTATTGAAAAATGGTTACCGAATCTCAATCCGGTTTGAAACAAATGGTTATCGATTTTTTTTTTAATTTGATAAATGGGCCACCAAATTTAAAATATAAATTTGGACTGGATTTTAAAATTTGAATTAATTGTCATTTATGACCATGAAACAAAAAAAGACGAAGAGTTTGAAAAATGGATTAACCATCAATTTGAACTAGTTTTTAAACCAAATAATATGGACTTTTGAAATCGGTGCACCATATTTTCAAATTTGGTTCTTGTGAACCGGTTTTTTTGCACACCCCTATCCGGAACGAACAACTCATTCAACTTCTCTAGTGCTCATGTGAAGTTTTTCTCCCTTTCATGTTCTAAATATGCAAATCCAATTGAAAACGTCAACTTCATTGATGTAACACCAACAATCTCAAATAGTGATAGCCGATACCTATTTGTTTTGTATGTACAGTCAATAATCAACAACTTCCTAGAATCAAATAAATAAAAATTTGCATTTTTTGAGAATTTGGTACCTATTTATTTTGTATGTACAATAAAAAGTTCAACACGAAATGAAACATGTTCAACAACGTCACTGAATCAAGACGTGTCCAAAAGATATCAACAACAACATTTAAATCTTTCAAATTTTGGTCCAATACATGTATTTCTCTTTATGAATAAGACTCGGCAAATGTTGCATTTCAGTCAATGAACCTGTATGTAGATCTTGTCGTATACACCTGGATAACACTCGTGAGGTTTTTTAGATCTCTATCTTTCAAAGCAGCAACTATGTGCCTCGGAGCCAAATTGAATTTTGTCATTTTATTCACAAAGTGTCTTTCATCATCACAATCTAATATATCATGGTCGTCTAAATATGTAGTTAGTTTATTATTGTGACACTCACACCTATCCATCATCTTCTAACCGCTACCACTTAGTAAAGATCTCAACATAAATGGATATTTAACTTTCATATTATACCTACCTTTAGAGTACTTGTTCTTTTTATAGTTTCCTCCTGTCTCACAACTCATAGTCAATTTATTTTTCCTTCTTCTGATCTCATTTATGGTATCAAAACAAACATTAACAACAACAATAACATGTTATTTATCAATAAATTATGCACATGCTAATACTCTTCGACTCGGAAGAAAAATATTTAGTGTGTGAAAAACCAAATCGGACTAGCCGGTCAAACCAGAAACATAAGGGACCATTGGTCTAGTCTAATTGCTAGATCGAGTAAGCTTTTAAACCAATAAGAACCAACCAGACAAATCTGTATAAATTGGACAAACTTTAATTTTTAAATTAATAAATAATAAAAAGAGTATTTTGATCGATATAAAAATAAGAGTACCAGGTTGTTTAAGTGTACGGCAGGTATATTATCCCTATTTTGTAGTATTAGTCCTAATTATTTCTAGTAACAACTTTTTAAAGATAGTGTTCGTGTGAGAAAACTTTACCAACGACCTAATGATTTCTAGTGAAAGATTTTTTCTCACTAAAAGACAAATTTGTTAAATAACATTTGAAAACTTCAAAATTAATTGAAATTACTTAAATAACAGTAATATAAGAGCCCAGATAGGTAACCTATGTATTTTTATGATAAGAACAGAGTTAATTATAAACGTATAAATATGCAATCAAAATGGTCACCAATGTTTGAATTACAATGCCAAGGTGATTTTGTTGAAGGTTCAAAATACATCATATTACATCAATAATTCAATATCGTCCATGATTCTGCCAAACTCAAACAATCCAAACAAACACTAATTTTGCAATAAACCCAACTTCAATCAATAACATATCTGCATAGAAAAGAGAAGAACTTCCAGATCCACATCGCTCCGAGAACCCAGGAAACAGATCAAACCATACATGTAAAAACTTGACCAAACGTAAAAACGAATAATCGATAATGGAGCATAACAGTAACTTTCTAAGTAAAGAAAAGGTAAGGTATGCTGTAATTTATTTCAATCCTTGCCATAAATTATAAACATAACATCAATCAAGGCATATCTATATTACAAATATCAGTATGAAAAAGAATAATGGAAGTAAGTCAATGTACACAGATCAAACCTGGAACCTTAACCTGTAATGGTATCAACAGAATAAAAGTGAAAAAACTAGGGACTAAAATGGTAAACAGGAATAAAAACAACCAAGACAAAAAGAGAGAAAGAAAACTTGTATCTATGGTAGTAAGAACGCAGCTCCTACCTCTTAAAGTCCTATACAATAATCTATCATTTGAAAACTACCAATGCTGAGTATATTACTTTATCATTACTATCAATGAAAATCGGTTATGTGATGGTAACTGTTAACCAACTTACCGGCCTTGGCCTTTCTTCCTACACTTGAAAGGGAGGCGGGAAGGGGTTGAAGGCGAATACTCAACAGGCAACTGGGGTGGTTCCAGTTCTCCGCTTAGCATCCCGACAACCTCCTTCATTGAAGGACGCCGAGTAGGTGATTTAAGCAAACAAAGCAAAGCCACTTTGATGCAGATCAGGGCCTGGTCCTTATTCAATGACTGAATAGATTCATCAACCAACTCAATAAGCTTACCGTTTCTTGCACAATGGCGCGCCCATGACAAAAGATTTGCTCTTTGAAACTCCGAAAACGGTGAACCGGTCACTTGAAGTGGGCGTCTCCCGGAAATGATAACGAGCAACAAGATCCCAAAGCTATAAACATCACACTTTTCGGAGACATTTTCACCATAGCCATACTCGGGAGCAACATAACAAATAGTTCCTCTCATACTTGGTGTACTACTCACACCACCACTCTTTGGAATGTCTCCACTAGCTGAATCAAAACTATTCCTACGTGTTCTCCATAACTCGCCACTGAACCCATCTAACCACCAATCGACACTACCACGATTATTCCTACTTCTTCTCTTTTCCTTCTTTCTATCCCCATATAATGTATCATCACTCATCCACCAATTATCATCAATGCTAATGCCATCATCATTTTCAACACCCTTTTTCTTTTTATTCTTATTCTTATTCTTCTTCTTTTTCTCCTTTGCAGCCTCTTCACAATACTCCTCCTTCCACCATTCCCTAACCGATTTTCTTTTATCCTTCTTCATCACCCCACCAACATTTTCCTCATCCATTGATTCCCACCATTCCAATTTATGCTTCTTGTTCTTCTTCTTCTTCTCAATCTTCTCTTCAACTAATTCACTCTTTTCACTTTTCACTTCCCTTCCAATCCAATCCATCACATAATCCTTCACCTTCTTACCTTCACCAACGGGCATCAAACCCACAACCTCATTCTCATGTTTCCACCACCAATCCCTAACCGAACTACTTGCTACCCCTTTCCCATTCCTCCTACCATCCTCAACACTAACAACATCCTTCTCACTCTTCACACTACCCTTATCAAACCCCGGCGATGCTGTCACAGCCATCGTCATAGGTGAAGCCATCGGAGATTGCTCCAAACCCAAATTAGCACCATCTTCAAAAAAAGTAGTATGAACACTTTCCACAGATCCACAATCATCAATCAAAACCCTAACACCACCACACTCCAAATCCTCACCCCTTTTCTTCATTTCATCCTCACTATCAATATCCAAAAGCTCAACATCAACCCTAACCGGCTCTGATTTCAACCTCGCAAGTCCGAAATCGCCAATTTTAGCAGCAAAATCACAATCTAAAAGAATATTACTAGGCTTTATATCACCATGTATAACAGGAGGATCAAAAGAATGAAGATAACAAAGTCCCTTAGCTATATCCAACACAATTTCAAACCTCTTACCCCAATCAAAAAGTTCAGAGCACTTACGCTTCAAAAGCGCGTCTTGAAGATTACCGTTTTGCATCAGAGGATAAACAAGGAGAAAACGGCACTGTTTTGGGTCAGACGAAAACCCTAACGGAGGAACTATATAAAGAGATCGAAGCTTCGAAGAGAAGAAGAGCTCGTTGTGAAACTCCCGTTCACCTTGTTGAGAAGAACTGTCCATGAGCTTAACAGCGATCGGTTTCGAAGAGAGTGTGCCCGAGAACACGGTGCCGAATCCGCCATGACCGAGTGGAACTGAGAAGGAGTTTGTTGCACGGCGGAGGAGGGAGTAGGATAACCGGTGCGGTTGATTCTCGTCGGTGAAGGAGAATGGAGCGGTGCGTTTTTTTCTAGTGCGGCGGAAAAGGAAGATGAAGAAGAGGAGGAGAGTCAGTAAGACGGCGGTTCCGGCGAGGAGAGGAATTAGAATGTGGTGGTAGTTACGGCGGTGGTGGTGGGGAGATTGAAGAGGTGGGTTATTTAAAGATGATGGCATGGACGGTTGAGATTGAAAGAGTTTACGGGGAAGCATGGTGGAGATGAGAGAATATAGAAAGGTTTTTCGCTTTGGTAATTTAGAGAGAAAGGTTAGAGAGAAAGGAAGAGAAGAAGAACGTGATAGTTGGGAGTTGAAGAAATTTTAATGGTAAATGGAAACATTTTTATTTATTTATTTATTAAAATAGTAAATTTTCTTTTTCTAGGTTGTTTTCTCTCTGTCTAGTAAAGTCAAGAGGCTAGTGTGTGTTTGAGTGTGAAATTTGGGTGTACTGTTTCATGAATGACTTTTGAAGAGGTTGTTGGTTTGTTTGGATTTGGGATTTTGGACTGGTATACGTGCCAGCTGTCAAGACAGGTGCTTTTGTTTAATTTATTGGTAAATTAAAAAAAAAAAATTTAAAAAGTACCAAAATCAATAATATTAATATTTTGATTAATTTAAAAAAACAATTTTTGTTAAAAATGAGAGACATTTAATTCATCCACTAATATTAAAAGATAGTCATTTAAAAAAGAGTAAAAATACATGGTAAGCAATAGACACATTATTTTATTTAAAAACAAATTTTAAAATATCAATTTAATTTCTATTAAATTTCAATTAAAATGGTTTTTGAAGTTTGTAACAATAATTCTTATCTTACAATTTTATGAAAATTCATTATTTCTAATTTTAAAAGTAATTCTTATAAGATGTAAATGAAAATTGAATATTTTTATTTAAAAGAAATTGTACTAAACCGATCTTTAATGACTAAGGCTCAATTCATCTCAAATCAACTCCATTTACCTAAAGTATAAAATCAATTCACACAGGAAGAACAAGGTACATTCTCTGATCTTCATCTTTTCACTACATTAATCTTGAATCTTGAACTGATTTGAGTATTTGAGTGTTAACCATGCAGATTCATCCCACGTCGCCATAAAAGAGATCAACATCACCGTTCAAGATCATCAACTATCCAACTGCATCCATTTGTAATTCTTATAACGGAACAATGACATCGCCTATGAAAAACAATTTTTGTTTCATACAATTTTTATAAATTCACATTTGTTTTCCAACCTCAATGTGCAAACATAGAAGTTCTATATATGGATTCCTACAGTTATACCGTAATTTTTACCCCTAAGATCACATCTTCTTTTTTTCATTTTTGCGTACAAACAAGGTCACAAGCTTGGCTGCTTTCTTACCTTCTCATCTTTGGGTTTGTTCTTGTAGAGATCAGCAAACACCTCTTTGTGTATCTTTTACATTTACCTTTATGTTTATATGCTTTATGTTTCACTAACCACTAATCAAAATGCTAAAAAAAATGTCTTGTAGCCTTTTGTTTCTTCGCAATGTAGGGTGCTACATCAAGAACACCAAGCATGATTCATCAACTAGAGTTTTACTCCCTCAAGGTTAAATTGTGGTCAACCATTGTTTCTTAAGGGCTATCTCATCAAATCATGGTTTCTAATATCAAAGTACAAGGTTTTAAACCTCACTCAATCTCATTTTGATCAAAGATATCTCAAGGTTTAGTAGCTTGCCTCTCAAGAAAAGCCAATGGTTCATATGTTTATTTTCATGCCTGCCTTCATCAACAAGCTACCTCAAACTTTAGTCAACTTAATCAAGGGAAATTTAAGGACAAATTATTTTGAGCTCATATGATTCCCACGTGCTTTGAAATGTAAGGAAAATCCAAGTGTACAAGTTGATTCAAGGAAGTTTGACCTAAAAAGTCAACATTTCAAGTCAAAGTTCCAAAGATCACAACTCCTTCAATTCTCAATATTTTTGAATATTTATTTTAGCATATGACTCTTATTAACATTCTCTTCAACTTCTACTTATATGATAAGAGTCAATTATGTTTGGAGGATCATCAAAAGTTTGAAGACATTATAGGTCATTTGTGAACTTAGTGAAAATTTTCCTATTTTCAAGTGATTTTTTCTCAACTTTCAAAGATTACAACTTCCACAATTTTTTTACATATGGAGCTCATTCTTTTTTCACAATACTCTTTGTGATACTTTCTATAAGATTGCTTCAAATGTCAAAGTCAAATTGTGTTTGGAAGACCATGGAATTCATTGATACATTATAGGTCATTTCCGTCATTTAGACTTAGAATTTTTCAAGTTTAGTTTGCCAGATTTTTATGATAACTTCAACATGCCATAACTTTTTGCTCAAGCATCCAAATGAAACATTTCTTGAAACATTATGATCTTTGCCATGATGTTGATTGATTGCAAAAGGAATTGGATGAAAAGCCTCTTATACAAGATGCCCCATTGATGCAAATATGGTGACTTGGAAGTGAAGTTTTGCACCATGATCAGATTTTTATCTCAACTAATCTTCAGTTACAAGTCAAATCCCCATGAGTTATTCACCTAAAAAAGATTAGTGAAGTTCCTATAAGCAAAATAACTCATAAAACGCAAGTTTAGGTGGAGTTTTGATGCTCTCCAAGTCACACATTTCTCACCTTCGGTTGCACATGGAATCACACGAATTGAGCATCATTTGGCACGTATGAGATCAACATTACACTCCCTATAAATAGAGAAACGTATTCCATTGATTTCTCAACCTTTTGAGAGTCAAAAAATCTCTACTCCACCTTTAAATTTTTTGCAAAAAAGTGAGCTATCGTATTTTAATTTCCAGCCACTCTAACTCTATTTCTTGATTCAGTTAGCTCCATTATGTTCCTCTGAAGCTTCTGCAACAAGAAACAAGCTCTAAGAGTCCCTGAATTGCTCCAAATAAATCCAGTTTTAGAGCTCCTCTGGTCGTTTTTAGACAAGGTAGTTTGAAGCATCAATTTGCTTCAAATTTGATACCACAGTGTAGTCCTTGGCTTGCTGATGGTTTCTGGATCCTTAATTTTATTTTTATTGATGTAAGTGCTCTTGATTGGATGCATTTTGTGGCAAAATATTAGTGCATGTATGAATGTCATGTCTGATGTTGATACATTCATAATATGGACTGTGCAGGGTAAGTTAACTAAGCTAACTATAAGTTAAGTTGGATGTCATACTCAATGTTATGACATAGGTCGTATGACATCAAGCGGAAGTTTGTTATTCTGGTAGCTAGAACTCAGGAAACAAATCAGAAGCTCAAGCTGGAATGCAGGAGACATTTTAGTCGCCCTAGGGGAACTAATATATACCTGATTAAAGTGGAAAACGTGCAGAATACTAAAGAGAGGTTTTATGATGGATAAAACCTAATGTATGCGCTCAGGCCCAAGGACTGATCTGCTGCTATAAATAACAGGAGAAGCAATCCTAGAAGGCAGTTGTTGGAGATAGAGAAGCAGAGAAATCACCATAGTGGTTTAGAAGTGAAGAGGTTATTCTTCACGATTGTGTCTTAGGAATACTTGTAATCCAAGCAACTGTTGATTGCATTGGTTAGGTAGTTTCTAGGTTGTGTACCACTCGAAGCTGTTAAGCAAGAGTGTGTGTCACTTGATCAAAGCTTTGAAGCAAGATCAAGGTGTGTGTAGTTGAAGTGTCTCTTCATTCTACCGTTTAATTTGTAACTGTTTGATATCACTGATGTGTGATTGTAGGGAGTGAGTGGGTATACTCAGGTCTAGAGTGTCTCTAGGTTAAATCGTTATTGGGTAGGTTTTAAGTGAGGAGTGCAAACTAGAGGTTTGACTCTGAATTAATTCTACTGATAGTGAAATTTCTCCCTAGCTTGGTAGCCCCCAGATGTAAGTGTGTTGCACTGAACTGGGTCAACAACCAATTGTGTTATTTACTGCTTTATAATTACTGCATAATAGTATACCTGTAGTGAATGTCATAGTGGATGTTATAACTTTTGTTAGAACATCCATCGTGGGCTGGCCAGAATTTTCAATTGGTATCAGAGTAGGCACCCTACCTGTTTATTATTGGGTGAGATCTAGGGAAATAAAATTTTGGTACTATGGATAAAGATATTGGATTCACAAATAGACCTCCAATTTAGGATGGTTCTAATTATGACTATTGGAAGCCTAGGATGATAGCCTTCCTAAGGTCCTTAGACAGCAAGGCTTGGAGAGCTGCAAACTTTGGGTGGGAACATCCTGTGAAGACTGACAAGGATGGAGTATCTGTGCAAATTCCTGAAGAGGAATGGACCAAAGAGCAAGAGGCATTAGCTCTTGGAAACTCTAAAGCATTGAATGCACTCTTCAATGGTATAGACAAAAACATCTTTAGACTGGTCCACCACTGTGAACTAGCAAAGGATGTTTGGGACACTCTCATAACTACTCATGAAGGAACCTCCAAGGTCAAAATGTCAAGACTTCAAATGCTGACCACCAAATTTGAAGGGCTGAAAATGAAGGAAGAGGAGACCATTCATGAGTTTTACATGAATGTTCTTGAACTTGCAAACACCTCAGGAGCTCTGGGAGAAAAGATGACTGAAGAGAAACTTGTAAGAAAGATTCTAAGGTCACTATCTAAAAGGTTTTCCATGAAGGTAATAGCCATTGAAGAAGCTCAAGACATATGCCACATGAAATTGGATGAACTCATTGGATCCCTTCAAACCATTGAGATGGGGATGTGTGATCAGGCTGTGGAGAAAAAGAGCAAATGTATAGCTCTTGTCTCAAACTCTGCAGAGGCTTCAGATCATGAAAAAAAGGAAGATCTATCAGAGGCAATAGCCATGCTTAGAAGACAGTTTCAACAAACTGGCCAAAAGGATAGATGCTAAGTCTAAACCTTATTTCAAAAGCTTGCTTGCTGACAAAGAAAAAACAGAAGATAAAGTCAACCAAAGAAGAGGAGTACAATGTAATGAGTGTGAGGGATATGGACATGTTAGAAAGGAATGTCCCACATACCTCAAAAAGAAGGGAAAAGGTCTAACAGTCACTTGGTCTGATGAAGATTCTGACAGTGGATCAGAAGGAGAATCATCCACACATGTTACTGTTCTCAATAGTGTGTGTGTATCTGATGGTGACTCAAGTGAAGAGGAGCTAACTTATGATGAACTAG